AAGGGTAGTAGCGAACCTCACTAGAGATCGTGTTGGTGAGAGGGGACAGCAGACTTCAGTTGGAGGACAGTCGAGCACCACGACTGCTCGAGAGGGAGCAGTGCCAGAGCATTTTGCCCCAGCTAGTACACTAGTGGGGACCCCGACCGTATAGCGACAGTAGCCCCAGTAACGCAGCAGACGGGGTTTGATGGTTATTTTAGAGATTTTCTTGAGATGGACCCTCCCACTTTTACTGGAGTAGAGACGTAGGAGGACCCGTACGAGTTCTTACAACAGTTGGACGATTTGTTCTAGATCTTGCAGTGTTCCAAGGTGAGACGAGTGCAATTGACCTTTTTTCGTCTTGGGGGTGTGGCTCGATCGTGGTACGACCGACTGATAGAGATGAGACTGACAGGTGTTGCCCCTTGACTTGGGAGGAGTTTTGTAGGGAATTCCTCGAGAGATTTATGCCTAGTAGCAGGGTGACAAATTTGACATCAGAGTTTGAGAGATTGGTGCAGAGACCAGGGATGTTTGTGGCAGAGTATGAGGAGCAGTTTACTCGTCTGTCTCGATATGCTACCTTTCTCATTGCTGATAATAGGGCACGAGCCACGAGATTTATTAGAAGGTTGTTCAATTCACTGTTCAGTTCAATGGGATCACAGATAGAGACGATTAGTTATGCTTGTGCAGCTGAGTATGCACGCAACCTAGAGGTGAGGGGTTTATCTGGGCATGTTCAAGAGAATCCTGTTAAGAGGATTAAGACAGATGGCTCTTTCAGTGGTAGGAGTTCTAGGGCACAATCGTCGTCTCATGATCATCAACGATCCGAGCATGGGAGTTCGTTTCGCAGGCAGTTGTCAGATAGTGTTACCATATCAGGTGGTCATGACTCTTCGGGCAAACAATTTGTGACTTGTTACGATGTGGCCAGCAGGGCCATAAAACTAGAGATTGTCCTTCTTCTTAGGGTACTACTCTGACGGATGAGACTTGTTTTCGATGTGGACAGCAGGGACAAAGGGTCAGGGACTGCCCCATTTCAGTGGAGGCTGATTTGGTTGCAAGCAGTTTGCCACAGACTTAGGGACAGACTGGTGCAGGATCATCTGGTGTTGGGAGACGAGGGACAGGAGGCGGAGGTCGAGGTAGGGGCCACGCGCGAGTGTATACACTGACTCGTCAGGATGATCAGGTGTTAGATGCGACGATCACAGGTACGATTATAGTATGATCCTTGGAGGCTTATGCATTATTTGATTTCGGCATTACCCACTTTTATATTTCAAAATTCGAGGACAAATTTTTATAAGGGGGGAGAATGTAGTGACGCAGTTTTCTATTTTATTAAGGCTGAGGGCCTTATTGCAAGATTTGTTTTTGAGGGGGGTGAGTTGTAAATATCTCAAGGACTGAATTGAGAATGGACAGAGTTGAAGGACCAAAATTGAATTTTTTGAAAAGTTTGACAAGAACAGTGTACGGAGTTGCCTTCCGCCAATTACCCCACGTCGGGTAATGATTTGAGCCTGTTTTCCACGCATTTGCATGCGTTTTTGCAGAATGAACCGAACCTCTCAGTTTATTTTTGGTTTTGCAAGAGTTGGGTGAGGGATTGTGAGAATTTTCTTGGCTGTCGGGCTCGCGGAAGACTGGAGGAGGGAGTTGTGTTTGTAGGCTGTTTGAACGACTTTTACTCCGATCAACCACCGTTGTGTGGGTCACCGAGGTCGACTTTGTGGACTGGAATGGCCAATCGACCGAGGTAAGCCATCTTGCCTGGTGTTTTCTTTACTTTTCTCGGTCGGTCGAAAGTTGCAGGCAACCGGGTTAAATACTCGGTTGTCGGGTGGAAGGGACGGACTCGAAAGGGTCCGAGTCCCCCGTGCTAGGCTGGTCTAGGCCATTCGGCCTGGGCCCAACCCAGTTGTCATGGTGGCTTGCGGGCTTTAGCCGTGGGCCGACCCAAAAAAAGAAAAATCGAGTTGGGCTGAGTTGACTCGATTGAGTCAACTCAGCGTTGTTTTGATGGGGTGAGTCAACCCGTCTGGGTTGACTCAGTGAATTGGGGATATGCTATCCCCGAGGATAGCAGGGGTTGGGATAAGTGTGCTTGGGGATAGATGGGGATTCAACAAACCTGAGTTAATTGGATTAGGGTTTTGAAGGGTGAACCAGCCAGGGTTGACCGAGGGTTTGACCAGCCAGTTCAGTGGTCAAATGGGCTTGGTTTTAGGAAGTTGGACTGGTTCTAGATTCGAGGGGATGAGACCTATCAAACCAAGTGGGTTCAAAAAATTTTGGGTGACCGGTTCGAGGTGAACCGGCCGGTTTAGAGTGTTGACCTTCAGTTGATCGGTTCACTGATTTTTAGACCGGTTCTTGGAAAGTTTGGACTAGTTCCTGGTTCAGCACATGGATTCCTAGATAACTGTGAAGTTTGATAATTTTTGGAGGTTCGATTCAAGGTGAACCGATCTCGTTTTACGTGCTGATGACTAGGGTTTGAGTTCTTGGCTGGTTCAGGCTGGTTTGAGTCCTTTTTGGCTGGTTCAGACCAATTCTTAGGATTTTTGGGCCTTCTGAACCCATTTTTGAGGGTTTTGTGTCCGATCTAGTTGAGCTTGAAGTATTTTTGAGCCGAGTTAGGGCGATTTAAGGGTTTTGGAGGCTGGTTTGCTGTGATTCGCAGACTATGGAGAGTGGTTCTGTTTTGATTGAGGGTTCTGGTTGGTTTATTGTGTGCAGAGAGTCACAGAAGTTTCAGTGGCAGGTCTCGATGCCTCGAGATGCGTGGAAGGGTGCCGATTTAGGATTTGAGCCTATTTGAGGCTACCGAGCCATTTCTCGTACCGAGTTAGAGGTTAATAATGATTCTGTGTGATTTTGTTTTCAAATATGCCTAGAGAGGTACACCCAGAGCAGTGAGACGGGTAAGGGTGACCGGGACTTCTTTCTTGACCTAACTTTTGTACTGTGAGTGATGATACTTCTTTATGCTTGAGTTTTCATATTGTTTACTAGCATGATGATTACATGACTTCTTAAACTGTATCTAGGTTATGTGTTATGTGTTCTTGTGTACTGTTTGTGAACTATAGTGATATGTGGTTATGAGATTCGAAATGTGAACTATATATGAGTATGTATATCTGTTTTTGTCTTATATGTGAGGTTGGTATCATGAGATGGGTTTTAGGGACGCCAGGTGGCTCGATTGGAGGACAGTGATGCTGTAATGTCTAGTGCGAGGGCCCTAAGTCCAATGTGAGGCGGCAGAGGCCGCAAATGTGATGTGCACTATTATGATTCCTCCGATCATTGAGATGGTGGATTCCTCCGATCATGAAAAGACGGGACAAGAGTCTCATGATGTGATGTGTCTGGAATTGCAGTCTCAACCGACGGACGGTGGGCCGTAGCGTGCAGGGAGTGCCTTGGTTCTTGTCTTGAGATGGTTTTCGGGATACGAGGACTTGCCTGGCGGGCAGTGTGCTACCGTAGCGTGCGGGGAGTATCCTGGTCCAGTGGATGTGATATGACGGTTTGGTTACGGTGATACTTCACATGTTGTTTTACGCGTTACTGTTTACTGCGAATACTTGTATATGCGTGGTATTTGATTGAGATATGTTACATACCCTTGCATGCATAGTCTAGGTATCATCCGTATTCACTGAGTTTCGTGACTCATAGTTTTAAACTTTCCAAATTTGGGTTGCTATCCTCGTCTCAAGTAGCGTGTCAGTTTTTGGAGCGACTGTCGGAGGATTTGATAGATGTACAGGCACTGTTTTTGTATATGTTCTTTTTGTATTATAGAGTAATTTTTTTGTACTCTCAAACAAGATCCCAGGTGGTTTAGTTGTTGTATTGTTATACTCAGTATATGTTTTGTACCTTCAAAATTTGACTGGTGTAGTGAGACTTACTAGAGTTGGTAGATCCTAGTGCCGGTCATGAACCTGGGGTTCGGGGCGTGACAGTGCCCTAATTTATAAAGTGGTGGTCTCAATTGAATGTTATAGATTAAATTTAACTATATCGATTAATTTGCACAAGTGCAAGGAGTCTTTTAAAAATTTTGGGTTTTTATTTTAATAATTCCCTAGGTTGAATAGTCCAACCTTAGAAGTCCCATCAAGCAGGTCTGTTTTATTTAGAACAATAAACTTGTTAAAACTGGCATACATTCCAATAGCCATGGGGAATCCCATTAAGCCTTTTGTCAATAACGCATAAAAATATGTAACCCTACTAATTTCTAGTGAAGTGACATGCATGTGCAAGGCAATACCTGGTGACGTGGGACTTTCCGGTCTCTAATTTTCTCGGCCACCAAACACCACACTTTCTTTCCTTTGTCTTCTTTCCTCCGTTTTCTCACCCACAGACAGCAACAAACACAAATCCAGTTCCCATGAATTTAACTCTAATGCGAAGTAGAAGCTTTCAAATTTACTACTAAAATTATTCTTCATATAGTATAAATCAGAGCACTGGCAATCAGATCATGATGCTAACGTTTTCAATTACGCATTATTAAATACATCAAAGTGGAACCTCTTCTAATTGATGAACAAACTGCCCACTTGAACAACTGAAAACAGCACACTCAAACCCCAGTTTAATATCACCACATAGCTACTCTAATTTTCTGATTTTCTTCTTATTTTTTGCTGTTTGAATTCGAACGCCGTCTTCTACTCAAACCCCGTCGATGTTTTTCACAGCGGACACTGTAATGGAAACAGTTCAGAAGGTTAAACTTGGGAACTCATAATTACGTTAATTAACCATCATCCAAACTGAGAAAAACATGTTAGGATTTGATTTTGGAAACAGAAAAAAGAAACCCGTCTTGGCATGCTTTCTAAATTGTAAGACTGTTTCTTAATGGATTTTCGAAGACCCAGAAACTGTTTTCACTCAGAAGAAGAAAATGATGGAAAAGTTTCCTGTTTTCAGAACATAAAAATGTAAAAACTGAGAAATTAAAAATGCAAACTTTATGCAACAGAGCGGCATGAATTCACATACCCATTTTCTAGAATCCAATTTCCGTTCTCTTTCACTGCTTCCTCCTCATCATCTGCCTCTGCTTTCTCTTCAGCTCCCGAGGAGTTCGATTCCGCCTTTTTCTCTAGAACTTCGATCAAGTTCTTCAAGCAAGCTGCGGCCACGGCCGTCGAGCCTTCAGTGGTGGTCGTCCCAGTGATCAAATTCTCCGCCACATCCGCTGGAGTAATATCAATTTCCTGCAGCAACCCTTCATTTTCGGAAACAATTCGTGCTCCTCAATCCCCAGATAATTCCTGGCCAAAACCTTAAACGCTTCGAAACTGCAATACGACATCTTTATGTGCTTATCCATTCTTCCCTTCCGAATCAGAGCCGGGTCAAGATTCTCGACACGGTTCGTGGTAAACACCATCAGTCTCCCTCCTTCATTCGCCGAAAAAAGGCCATCTACACAATTCAAAAGCCCCGATAAAGTCACCTTCTCTATCATTTCCTCCCCCTGATGCTCTTCTGCCTCTTACCCGTTACACTGCTCGAGCAATCTATGTCCTCAATTACAAGAATTGAATTACAGGGGATTTGATTCAGAAGCATTTTCAGCGCAGCATTGCTCGAAACCGCTGTTAATTCTAGATCATAAATATCATAACTCAGCAAATTCGCCATGGCCCCAATCATCGTGGATTTTCCCGTCCCCGGTGGACCGAAAAGCAAATACCCTCTTTTCCACGGCTTTCCGATCCTCCGATAATACTCTCGTGCGGTCGAAAATCTCTCCAAATCCTCGATAATTTCCTGTTTCTTGTTTTTTCTCCATGGCCAGAGTGTTGAACGTCGCTGGGTGGTCGAAGTCCTTCATGTAGTTCCAGTAAGCTTCTCGCTCGCTACGACTGTTCGAATAGAGCTTTAACTGCCGATTTTTCGCCACCTTCGCTCTCCCCTTCTCCATCACGTACTTCACGTACTCTTCCTCCACCATTTTCAGATGCCATTTCCGGCAAGTCAAAATATAATAACGGTTCCTTCGAGAACCTCTGAATTCGCTTGGGTCTTCCTCTTTTTCGAGACGCCACCAGATTTTGACCCCCTTAAACTCGTCGGAGACATCTTCTCCGACGTCGACGCAGAAGACAGGGGTTTTTTATATCCCTAACGGCGTTGGCCTTGAGACGCGGCGCCTGGGAGGCGCAGTTTTCGCTGAGGTAGGTCTCGATGGCGGTGTAGGCCTCGCGGTTTCGTGGTCCGCCGTCAAAGGTGTCTTCGTGGAATTTGATCTGGACGTACGGGTCCATCGAGCTGACTATTTTGCGGATGCAGCCCTCCAGGTATCCTCCGAAATGCTTGAAGAGGAAGTTCTGGAACATAGTGAGGACGACCATGAAGGCGGCGATGGCCATGGCGAAGCCAATCTGGTTCGTCCCTCCCTGAGCCCATTGTGGGGCCATGAACGCCAAGGGATTCATCGTCTTCGGATTTGCAAGTGGGAAGTGAGACGATGAGAGACTGATCAACCTGTTTTGCTGTGCTTTCGATGTCTCATTTTCAAATATAGGCTCTTCTATAAATACAAGTTGAAGGTTAACGACGTAGTGAGATGGCCATGGTTAGCGAGTGCCAAGTCAGCGATAAAAATTTTTCTGTAATTATTTTTATTTTTTATTTTTTTATTACATTAAAAGTACACACAGAACAAAGTATTTATAAAATAATGAAGTAAAAACCACTTCCTCTTCTTCAGCCCCTTTTCTCTGCAACTTCGCCTTTATGAACTTTATAATTGCATCTAGTTTATTTAAAATTTGTAATTAATTATATCTATCTTATTTAAAAATTCATGGGTACAGATTAGGTTATTTTTCAAATACATAGTTTTCTATTTCAATTTTTGAAAATTTAAACATCCATTCTGTTAAATATTATTGAAATCAGGATTATCCTGCAAATAATTATAAATATTTTCCTATTATGTAATAAATATCATTTGTCATTTTTCTACATGCCACGTCCAATTTTTAAAATGTCAAATTGGATGATTCTGTTTATACCTTGTATTGATTATGATGTAATTACAATTAATTTAGTTTGAGGTACTACCTAGAATAAATAAATACAAAGAATTTTGATCGTGTTGGCCCAAAATCTCGAAGTCCTTGCATTCAAATTTGTGTAAACTTTTATTAGAAGTTTGAAATGACTTCAAAGTTTTAGGAGAAGACAACATCTTTTCAGAAAAAAAGTTAGTTTTTTTTTTTTTTTTGGTTGGTGTTCCTTAGTTTTGGCCAGTGAAGTCTTTGTGAAAAACCAAAAACTAAAAACTAACTACACTTATAAAAGTCACCAGAGGAAAAGCTAAGCAAGTAATAATTTATTTATTTATTTGCCTACCAAACGCGCCCTTAGTAAGGTGCAGAGTTAACCAAGTGGATTTGCAAATGTCTAGGCTTTCTGATTAATAAATGATAGGAGAGCAAAGGCATTACATCACCACGCAAACACACTGAAAACAATGGATCTCGAGAGCAGTGACAACTAATGGGTATTCGGATGGAAGGATAGGATATAGTAAAATAAGATAAGGGGGTGTTTGGATGGAAAGATAGGATATAGAGTGATAGGATAAAGGTAGATAAAGTTATTTGGATTGAATAGTTTTATTACATGTTTAGTTCATAAATAACAATTGGGATAAAATTTTTGAAAGGTAGGATAAAAATTTGAATTTACCAAAAATCCCTTTTTATATGAGTAAAAGAAAAAAAACAGAACAGAGTTAAAAAAAAACCCAGATTCGGGTTAAAAAAACAAATCGGGTAAAAAAACAAAAACACAAGCAGATGCAGAAGTTCCGATCGGATTAAAAAAAAAAAAAAACAAAACAAAAGCAAATGCAGAAGTTCCGATCAGACAAACGCAGATGCAGAAGTTCTGATCGGGGTTTGTTTGTAGATGGCGTTTGTTTTGTAGAAGTTCTGATCGTCGTCGTCGTCCTTGTCTCTCAGCATGGCATCGTCATTGCCATCGTCCTCCTCGCTGTCGGCCATGAGTGGAGCCCGATGTCCTTCTATGTCTTGTACGGTGGAAATAAGTCTCATCCTCCTCCCTCAGCCACAAGGGTATTCCCGTCAAGGCAAAGCTTATTAGGGGGGATAAATTTTTATCCCCCTCGGACCACGTGATATCTTATCTCCCTCACACAGATACATATCCGTATCTGATTCCATTACACACGAACCGAACGCGTGTAAAGGTTTTTAAAATTATCATTCTCACGCGTTATCAGTCACTGGACACACCAATGGTAGATAAATTTATCTGGATTACACAGTGGTATCACACATTCAGTTAAATAGAAAACAAATTGGATAAAATTATGAATTTACCAAAAAGTCCTTAAAAACACACACACACACACAACATTAGTTGGATCTTATTTTCCTGCCTTCGCCACAAAGCCCTCATGGCTTTTAATTAAAAAAAAAAAACAGTCGGACTCCGTCTCTCATCCCTTTCACCACCGACCTCCTGTCGGCCCCCACCTCCCTCTGACACGCCAGCCTGGGTCAACCCGTTTAGCCAACCTAGGCAGACTGAGAAGCAATCCATAAAATGGATGGGGTTCGAGCCACAGAATGGATCGAGATCAGGTTCGGGCTGAGAAGCAATCCACGCCATGAACGATGGAGAGAAGATTTGCTGATTAGCCATGACAAAAAGACCGTCGAGCTCGACCCAGACCTAGCGATATCGACGATGGGTGCAAACCAGGCCGACGAACGGCCGGGACCAAATCCGAACGACCGCTTCGCCTCCCTATGCTCGTGAGTGAAGGACAATGGAGCCCAGCAGAACCAAAATCGTTCAGATCTGGAGCCCAGCAGGACCTAATCCGAACGCCCGCTTCGCCTCCCTGCGCTCTGGGTGAAGGACAAATGCAATCGGGAGATCGGGACACACGCTGAGGCTAAGCTTGACATTTCATACGCTGATAAGAGTGGGATAAAATTATCCCACCCGCAGCCGCTAATACCATATCTGGAGTATACTGATACATATCAGTATCCGAATCCGTTACACGCCAACCGAATGCATGTAACGACATATAAAATTTATCTTCTTAGCCTATATTAGATATCGAACGCCCCCTAAGGAAGTAGGTACAGGCTACAGAACGACACAACGAAAGGTCGTTTTTGACCGAGAAAAGCCAACGGTTCGAGTATTATTTGGCTGATTAATTTATCTTTTTGTGCAATATCCTTGTCCTCACTAATCTTCATTTTCCATTCCCTACTCACTAGTTACTTGAAGAAAAAAAAGCCCTAAAAGCAAGGTCCATGTGCTCCAAACCTCCCTACATATACTAGAAATTATGGGCATGTTAGTAACTTTATTAATCTTAATTTTCTAAATATAATGAGATTATCAGCTAATATCCAGTTTATCATCAAGTTTAATCCAACTAAAATTAGAATTGCTATTCCGTATCCAAAAAAAAAAAAAAAGAAAAAAATGCAAGCCTTAAAACAGAGGTGTGTTTGGCAGAACAGAATTTTTATGAGTGTTTGTTATAAAGGAAAAAATCTCAACTTTTTATTAATATTTATAAATTTTTTGTTATAATACAAAGAAATTGAATTTTTGGAATGTTGTGATTTGTTTTAAATAATTAGTTTTGTTATTTAAAAAAAATTATATGCCAATGTAAAAAACTAGAAAATAAATATTTTTAAATTAAATAATGTAAAATATTTGGTCCCAAAAAAAATAATTTTAATTTTTAAAAGTTTCAAAATTTTTTTATGTTAAATATTATATTAGACAACAATGTTGGTTCCCATGCATATTGAAATGTTGAATAATTTGCGGCATATTATATTCGAACAATTCTTTTTTTAATTGTTGTTGGTGGTGACTTAAGTCTCGCATCACTCTCTGGTAAAATTTTCATAATCTTGCTTAGAATCAGTGAATTTAATACTATGTACTACTTTAAAATAGTATTAGTGACTAATACGTAGAATAATTATACGTGTTAGTCACTTAACAACATTAAGTCCACCAAAAAATTTTGGGCTGCTTTCGCCTCCTCCTCGCAGGAGGGATGGGAATGTGGTAATTCCGGTTGCTTGGAGAAGAGGACAACATCGTACTGTCTTTCCACGTCTTTGGACTGGCGTGGGTGCCGCCCCGTGGTGGGGACCTGTCTGGGACAATATTTCCCGGGGCGCCCAATCTGAAAGCCTGCTTTACTGGCAGCAGAACAAAATTGCTGGCCGCCCTGAGTGGGTGGTGGTAGACGACGCCAACTAGTATGAAACTCTTACCAGTTGGCAGCGAGTTTACGTCACCACGTGACGTCATTATTCTCTGATCCAACGGCGAGAAACTCATTTGCTTGGGTGGGCCGAAAGATCCTCGTGGCATATCCAGTCCAACACTTCTAGTATTATCCATTGTGTTTTATTTATATTAAAATTAATAATAAATCATAAGATAAGAACGAGGGAATGTTGTATTTACCCCAAAAGTCCTCAGGAATATAAAATTTACATGATTAGATACTTAAATAATGATTTGTCTCTAAATATATACCACAATCGAAAGGCAATTTGTCAAGCAAAAATCTTTGGTGGCTAACGTCCGTTGGAAACTGTGCGGTGCCTACATGTGCCAGACCGGTGGCTGGCCCTTCGCTCTGCGGATGAAACGGGTGCAGATTAGGACAAAGAACGAGCACAAAATTGATTTCTAACTTTTCTTAAGAGCCAAGAAAATATTGTAAAATTCAGCGTGTTGCAAGGGTCGTCGTCGGCAGCTTGCTTTTGAAAGAATGACCTGCCACTGAGAAAAAAGTCTTCCTTTTATGATTAGAAAAAGCAGATGGCGTCAAAACCTTGGGATTTCCCGTCTTTGCAGGTTGTGTGTTTGGAATCACTGGATTCCAACTGGAAGGATAAGCAGTACGACTCCGAGGAAATTGCACGAATTTACGGTTTTATGGGTGATGTTGAAATTATTTTTTACATCTCCTCCTGGGTGAATTGCTTGGTAGTTTACACATTTGAGAAAAAAAATCTGGGTTGAACCCAGTTTTCCTACCTAAGGCCTCAGTCTTGGAGAATTGGAACGATACGAATGTGTAGGTAATCATTGTATTGTGTGAATTACTTCCGTATGTTAAAATAAAAGAGTTAAACTCTTATCAAATTGAGTTTTGAATCTTAATAGTTAGTATATAATAATTTTATTTTCTTCAGGGCTGAATTATCTTAATATTTTACATATATATGTTTGAATTAAAAATTCTTATGATGATGGGTATGATATAATTTGCCAAACATAAAATTTTTCATAATTTTATATAATTTTTTAAGGAAAAAAATCTTAGGGATAAACTCCTCCAGTTTAAACCAAAATTGAAGACAGATCATATTTGAGATCAGGTGGAACGAGCGTCTCATCT